TTTATTTGCTTCCTAGAGGCCCGGTGCACAGAATTTGTGCACTGGGGGTGGGGGCGTCCCCCTCAGCCCATCCTGTGCCCACTGGCAGCCCGGGAGCCCTTGGGGGATGTCCGACTGATGGCTTAGGCCCCTCCCCGCCACCACTGCAGCGCTCCCCCTGACCACCAGGGGGCAGCTCCTGCACCGAGCATCTGCCCCTGGATGGGCGGTGTATGTCAGTGATGGCAAACCTATGACACTCTTTTTTTTGGGTTGATTTTTCTTTGTTAAATGTCATTTAAATATATAAAATAAATATCAAAAACATACATCTTTGTTTTACTATGGTTGCAAAGATCAAAACATTTCTCTATGTGACACGGCACCAGAGTTAAGTTAGGGTTTTTCAAAATGCTGACACGCCGAGCTCAAAAGGTTCGCCATCACTGGGGCATGTCATAGCTTCTGGCCGAAACTGGCTCTCTGACATCCCCCAGGCGTCCTGGGTTGCAAGAGGGCGCAGGCCAGGCCGAGGGACCCCACCCGTGCAGGATCGGGGCCAGGGAGGGACTGCGGGAAGGCTCCAGGGCGTGTCCAGCCCGCCTCACTCAGTCCCCATCAGCTGGACCCCAGCAGCAAGCTAACCTACCGGTTTGAGCATCAGAGCGTCTGCCCCCTGGTGGTCAGTGCATGTCACAGCGAGTGGTTGAGCAGCCTTAGCATATCATTAGCATATTACGCTTTAATTGGTTAACCGGACGACCGGACACTTAACATATTAGGCTTTTATTATATGGGGTTTTTAAAATTTTATTATTATTTTTAAAAATATATCTTATTGATTTTTTACAGAGAGGAAGGGACAGGAATAGAGAGTCAGAAACATCGATGAGAGAGAAACATCGATCAGCAGCCTCCTGCACACCCCCCACTGGGGATGTGCCCGCAACCAAGGTACATGCCCTTGACCGGAATCCAACCCGGGACCCTTGAGTCTGCAGGCCGACGCTCTATCCACTGAGCCAAACCGGTCAAGGCTATATAGGTTTTTTTAAATCTACACCTGAGGATATTTTTCCATTGATGTTGAGGGAGAGGGAAGGACAGACAAATATCCATGTGAGAAAAACACATCGAACCCAGGACCCTTTGGTCCACAGGCCAGACTCTATCCATTGAGCCAAACCGGCTAGAGCTGTGACAGGCCTTTTAATGTTTTACAAAAGCGGCTCAAAAAAAAAAAAAAAAAGCTGCTCAGAGAGAGAGCAAGTCTAGGATGGGAGTGAGGAGGCCCCGAGAGCTGTGTTCTTGCCCAAGCTCACAGCTGACACGGGCAGCACTGAGGGCACCAGACTCCACGGCGGCCGTGGATTCATCGGAGACCCGCTCCCTTGGCGCCGAAGGGTGGTTGCCTGCGTCTTCCCACAGGTCCCCAAGGTTGAAAAGCCACTTCTAGAAGCCACACAAGGAAGGACAGGGTGTCCCAGCCCCTCCGTGGTCCTGACACCACCCGTGTGATGTCTGGGATGGCCAAGTTCATCTCTTTTCCAAGATGTTGGGTCTGAGATCGTTACAGACACCTGAGCCTGTCCGAGGTTGGGGTGTCTGCAGACTCTCCCCTTGGTACGTTCCCATCTCTTGGACGTGGGGACCCTTGGGATACCCCCAATCCCTGTGTCCTGAGGGACAGGGCGCAGGTGACACGAAGGGACTCCCATTTCTGGCAACCAGTGTAAGCAGGTGTGGGGGGTTAACCCAGGGCCGACACCGGCAGGTGGAATGCTTGGAGGTGCCATGAAGCTGGGAAGACGGTAGGCAGTGCAGATCTCCATTCTTTCCTTTTTCTATTTTTACTTTTCTTTTTTTTTTTCAAATATATTTTTATTGATTTCAGAGAGGAAGGGAGAGGGAGGGAGAGAGAGAAACATCAATGATAAGAGAGAATCAAGGGTCGGCCGCCTCCTGCACGCCTCCCCACTGGGGATGTGCCCGCAACCAAGGTACATGCCCTTGACCGGAATCGAACCCGGGACCCTTCAGTCCGCAGGCGGATGCTCTATCCACTGAGCCACACCAGCCAGGGCTATTTTTACTTTTCTATTTGAATAATTTGTTTTTAAATCCTCACCCGAGGATATGCTTATTGACTTGAGAGAGAGAAACATTGATGTAAGAAACATCGATCCCCTACACGTCCTGACCAGGAATCACACCCCCAAACTAGGTCCGTACCTGCAGTCTGTTGGCATACAGGACAACGCTCCAACCACTGAACCTCCCGCCAGGGCAGGGCTCCATTCTTTTTAAGAATAAAGAGTGTGTGTGTGTGTGGGGGGGGGGGGGGTGTGTGGCCTAGCCGGCTTGGCTCAGTGGATAGAGCTTTGGCCTGCAGACTGAAAGGTCCCGGGTTCGATTCTGGCCAAGGGCATATGCCTGGGTTGTGGGCTCGATCCCCAGTAGGAGGCGTGCAGGCGGCAGCGGATCATGTTTCTCTCTCTCTCTCTCTCCCTTCCTCTCTGTAAAAAATCAATAAAATATATTTTTTAAAAATAAAGCTGTAAATAAATACCTATGCCTCATTAAAATTAAGAATATACTGATTATACATTTCATTAAATGGAATCACATTTTTTATTTTTGAATAGAAGCACTCTATTTAAAAATGCCTTATATTTCAAAATGTATATGATGAAATTAGAAGCAGAGTAAGAGAAGTAGGAATAAATGCTATTTTTTAGCTTTGTCAGCCCCCAAAATATACTCAGATCATACTAATACAAATCACGGTAAAACAGGGAGGAAATGAACAGAAAGAGAATTTGAAAGTGGACATTAAAAAGCATTTGGGATGTGGGATGAATGCCAAAGTGAGAATAAGAAACGTAAAACCTTTGTCCAGAAGGTCGTCGTAACCGTGATCTCACCTGAAGTTGAAATGCGAATGCTCTATTCCACTCGGGCTCTTTGCGCGGTGGCTCTCAGTGGAGAGCCTCTTGGCAGCCAAAGTACAGATGATAACCAGGATTATAAAAGATGGACAAGCCTTAGCCAGGACTGGGCGTGATAAGGAAATACTTCCCACAAAAATGATTATATGTGGAGCCTAAAGAGATTCCAGTCAATCTTGCCCAGAGCGGGTACAACTAGAGGAGAAAGACAAAGGGGGCACATTTTAGCTCTTGTGCAAATGGGAACAGCATTGACTTGGGGTCCAGCCATATAGGACCCACTACCCCACGTACACCTCTGTCCTAGTCATGAATGATTCAACAGGTGAGTTGAACAAATTCCAAAAAGGCCAATTCCAGTAGAAATAGAAACAACAGGATCTGGCAGTACAAGA